AGACACATTCCGGTACCAACCACAATGAAGATAGTGCCCGCGGAAATCCACCGCGCGGCTGGTCCGTTTTGCTTCCCTCCCCACCCGCCCACACCCGACGTCCCTCGGCGTCCCGACGTTCCTCGGTGTAGCGGTGTAGCAGACAGGCACACGACGGCTTTCTCGTGTCTTTGAACTCCACCATCCCACAGCTACGTATTTCCGGGCCCCGCCAGCTGATGATGTAGAGTGCACGCGGTACCCCACGCGCCTTGATGTTCGCTGCCCCCTTCCCGCTCTTGGTAGAAGGCAGCCACGGCCACTGCCGTGCTGCTGGGTGTGGCCAAATACTCCAGCACTTCTCACACAACTCCCGTGATACCCCGCCTATCCATCGGGGCCAGGAAGCACTTTTCTCCCCGCATATCCATCGGGGCCAGCAAGATTTTTCTGGTACCCTTCCCCGCACACACGACGGGTTGGGTTCGCGTGCCCCCTCCTACACGCTCCTTAATGGGGATAAACACAAGAGAGCACACACTACTCTCAAGTGTACACGAGTGTTCTCCACCCGTGTTCGCGGGCCACATACCTTGCGGGTACAACCCGCGGGCATTCCCGCTCCGGCCTTGTCTCCAGACCCGCCCCAGCAGACATTGGTGTTGTATACCTCCAGGCCATCTCCCGGTCTTGTGTTCCTTCCATGCTGCTGGGGTGCAGGCGGCAGAACTCCACCGCCTCCGCGTGCCCCCTCCTACACGCCCTTTTAATGGGGACAAACCGATATAGCAACCGGCTCGGGAGTAGCGGATACTCTCCTCTGCCCCCCCGACCCGCACCTGCGGGCGAGCGGCAGCCTCCGTGCTCCCGCTCTATGGAGCCCCCGTTGGGACTCCTGGTGGACATGCACTACACAGCATCCCCACCGTCGACAGCATCCTCTTGGCGCCGCCTAACTTCGTCCGACCCCTCCTGAGTGGATAAGTCGGTCGCTGGGACACTTTCGCTAGTGCCCCCAGCGGTAGCAACTCTGCTGTGCAACAGCTCTGCCACAACTTCTACAACAGACGGAGAGAGTTGGTGTACTGGAATGCACCAAACACACCTTCAGCAGGGACCTCAACAGCCCGCACCAGGGCGCCATCCACGTCCGGCCTACTGCTGCTCTCTCCTCCCGCAGTGTCGCCCTCCCTGACGACCACGCAGCTCTTGGTGGCTGCTCGGTGGAACACACAAATCCCGCCGCACCTGCCGTGCCTCTCGCAGCACGGCCCGACTAATCCTGGCCTCGCCCACCCGACTTGGCCTGCAGAAGCGATGGCAGCCTGCCCATCATCTCCTACACCCCTGGTTCTCGCCTCAACTCGAAACCCTAGTCAAAACTTGCGCGTCGTGTCACTCAGTAATGTCCTTACCACGGTATCACGCACAACGCTCCTGCTGCTGCTTCTCACCACAGCTGAACACTGAAGATCATCGGGCTCCTCCGGAGGATGCATTCTAGAATGTTGGTATGCCCTTGTTGTGTGACCTCCAGAGTCCAAAGAGTGTTGTTAACGGCATGTATTATCGTAGGGGGACATGAGGGAGAAGGAGGGAGGAAGAGTGCCAGGCCCAAAGCCAGTCGAAAAGGGGGCCCGCAACTCGTATCTCAAGGTCTCTCCTAGCCG